TTAGGGTTTAGGGTTTAGGGTTTAGGGTTTAGGGCTTAGGGTTTAGGGTTTAGGGTTTAGGGTTTAGGGCTTAGGGTTTAGGCTTTAGGGTTTAGGGTTTAGGGTTTAGGATTTAGGGTTTAGGGTTTAGGAGATGTCCTGGATGTCCCAGTGGGCTTTTTGCCACCTTGTTAGGGTCCTATGCTTCTTCAGACACTCGCAACAATCTCAAGCAGTGAACCCATGTCACTCCGAAAATATGTGGGGCTCCCCGAGTATATTGGGCCTCCATTTTGTGGTTCCTGCGCTTCACTTATTGAAGCTTAAATTCTTAGACTCACCGTATCCAGTCCCCAGTCCATAAAACGACAAAGTCGACACTCGCAATTTTTCGAAGTTACTAGGAGCGTGGTCGCAGGCTAGAACCTGTCCAGGAACTGCATGGCCCAAGGCTGCTGAGGATGTTGTGCGACAGAGTTTGCGAGCACCTAGGGCTTTGGCCTACCCTTCCATGACCGTAAACCCTTAGACCCTAAGCCCTGTTTGTACTACCATCTGCGCAGCTCATGTAACCCCGAAGTATGCCCCTCTCAGCCCTTTAGTCGTGAAACCCGAACCCCCGAACCATGAACCTATCTAGAGTCTTCCGGAAGGTTGGGGGGCTCAGGGTTGAGAGTTTAGGCCATGGACTGCTTTCTGCATTGCTTCTGAATGATCAGAACAGGCTCAAGGCAGGTTGCCGCCCGCTGGCCGCCCGTGCTCAAGATGCGGATCCCTTTAAAAGCTCCGAAAGTCCCCAAACCACAAAGCAGCCCGACAGGGCCTTAGAACGAAGGTTGGCCCCCAGCCCACGCAACCGTAGGACCCAGTCCTTAAAACCTTGCTTTGGCATTTGTTGCGTCCTGAGCATACTACAGCTCTCTACTGCGGCAAGAAAGAGTTGTAACGAACACTTTGCGCCCCCCCCCTCCCAAAGGGGCGGGGGGGCGCGATCATTTTTAAGAGCGTCGGATGGGGCTCGCGAGAGCTCGATCTGGCAATGAGGAGAGTATTCTGGCTAGTTCTCCTGCCTCTCGGCCGGTTTAGGGTTTAGGGTTTAGGGTTTAGGGTTTAGGGTTTAGGGTTTAGGGTTTAGGGTTTAGGGTTTAGGGTTTAGGGTTTAGGGTTTAGGGTTTAGGGTTTAGGGTTAGGTTTAGGGTTTAGGGTTTAGGGTTTAGGGTTTAGGGTTTAGGGTTTAGGGTTTAGGGTTTAGGGTTTAGGGTTTAGGGTTTAGGGTTTAGGGTTTAGTTCTAAGACTCTCTGTACTAAACTACACGCTGAAACTACTCCCGCCTTCTGCTTCTATATAGGCCTGCATTGTCTCCATATTTCCCTGTACAGTCACGAAACAAGGCTAGATAGCGACTATATCCCTGAACCCTAACTCCTGAACCCTAAGCCCTAAAGTCCCGAACCCCCCAGCTGCAAACTTCAGGATGCCAATTTGCAAACCGCCGAAGGCCCTAAACCCTAAACCCTAAACCCTAAAACCTAAACCCTCAACCCTAAACCCTAAACCCTAAACCCTAACCCCTAAACCCTAAGCCCTAAGCCCTAAGCCCTAAGCCCTAAGCCCTAAGCCCTAAGCCCTAAGCCCTAAACCCTAAACCCTAAAACCTAAACCCTAAACCCTACCCCCAGACCCCTAGACCCTAAACCCTGAACAACCCTCAGCTCAGGTTCTCTTTCACCGCAGGGGTTGCTACCAAAGATGAAGAAGATGAAGAGCTGGTGCAATTGGAAGTTGCTGGGCTCATGGTTTAGGGTTTAGGGTTTAGGATTCAGTGCTTAAGGTTAAAGGTCGATCTTCGCCTAGACGGCGTCAACTGTGGGGTTTAGGCTTTGGGGTGAGGGTTTGGGGGGCACTTGGTTCAATACTGCCCTAGTTTCTGAAACCCCTACACCCCCCAAATCCCCTACACCCTAACCCTAAACCCTAAACCCTAAACCCTACAGCCTAAACCCTAAACCCTACACCCTAAACCCCAAACCCTAAACCCTAAACCCTAAACCCTAAACCCTAAGCCCTAAGCCCTAAGCCCAAAGCCCTAAGCCCTAAGCCCTAAGCCCTAAGCCCTAAGCCCTAGGCCCTAGGCCCTAGGCCCTAGGCCCGAAACCCCAAACCCTTCAGGCCGAGCTCCTCCAAGTGAAACAGGAGCTCCTCGGTCGATTGCGTGCCCTGGACGAGGGGCGTGACCTGCAGGCCTGAGGTTTGCAGGGTTGAGGCTCAGGGTTTAGGGCTTAGGGTTCAGGGTTTAGGGTTTAGGGTTTAGGGTTTAGGGTTTAGGGTTTAGGGTTTAGGGTTTGGGCTTCAGGGTTTAGGGTTGGTTCACTACATGGAGTATACTAAGTATGTTTTCCTGACAACGTGTCAGTGGAGTGGAAATGGAGAGTGGCACCGGCATGTGCGACATGTGCCATCTCAGTTCTTCCAAGGCTTGTTGCGCACCCCACACGAAGCAGAATCTACAGCACTGCACATCAGCATGAAACTGACTGGTCCTACCTCATGTGGAGTATGGCGACAACAGACGGAACATCAACATCGCAAGTCAGTAGCAACTGTCGGCATAATACCTTTGAAGAGTAACCAGGCAACATTTACAACATTTTCCAACATTAGCGTGGACAGCATTCAAACCAAGTTTACAACAATCCAGCATATCCATATAAGTTTTCATTCTCTTCTACTACACCACTCTCCTCTTGTCATCGGTACGAAACAAAGAGCAAAGTACAGTAGAGCAAAGGAAAGTAGAGTAGAGCAAAGCAACAGCAAAGTAAGCATGTACATACTACGCGCGAACCCAACGCCTTTGGCTAGACGAAGATGTCTGGTGACGGCAGGAGGTGGAACCTGGGATGACAGCGAGGCTCGTGTCCCAGATCGAGGGCCTGAAGGATTACGATCAAAGCGTCTCGCGGGTCTTGGACAACCTTTGGCTGCTCCTCTGTGGCACGCTCCTGATGTGCCAAAGTTGCATTCGGAAACCATGGCCAGGCTGTAGGATGCTGGTTTAGGCTTTAGGGCCCGGGGTTTAGGGGTAGGGTTTAGGGCTTAGGGTTTGCCGTGTATAGAGCGTTTAGGGTTCCAGAGGGCTTTAGGGTTCATGAAGTGGTCACGAGTTGACTCATCGTAGGTACATGCACGTGGGGTTTGCCCTGGTTGAGACGGGCACTTGTAGAGCGGTCTCCGCTTCGGACACATTGGTGAAGAACGTCTTGGGCTTGTGCACCGGCACGGTCGCCTGGTGGTCCTTGGGCTACTTGGCAGCCCAGCGGTACCCTTTGTTTTTTGTTTGTTTTTTGGTTTAATGGGTTCCCTTATCAAGTAGCCCACCCAAAGAAGGGTGCCCTTATTATAACCCTAAACCCTAAGCCCTAAGCCCTAAACCCTAAACCCTAAACCCTAAACCCTAAACCCTAAACCCAAGTTGCGGGGCTACTAAGGCTATGGCCTGGCCAAGGGCGAGCTGCTTGGGGGCTTCTTCGGCACCAGTGGCTTCTTCGGCTCGACCCTACTTACCACGAGCTCGGAAAGCGTGACACCAGTGCCTTTGTCGCAGTGGGGTAGCATGTTGCACGTTTAAGGGCACTTAGAGACTTAATATTGGAATAGGAATTCAAATTTTTTTAGTATCCCAACCATGAACGAGGTGTGGGCATGCAGTTCGGGAAGCTGCCCTTCGAACCTCGCAGGCAGGGTTGTTTCACGTGAAGAAACCCTTTTAGGATTTAGGGTTTAGGGTTTAGGGTTTAGGGTTTAGGGGCCCTTCGAACCTCGCAGGCTGGTTCTTCCAGTGGGCCTGCTGCACAACCTCCTCCACCATCGTGAGTGGCGCCTTACTTGAGCGTGCACGCAGCTCCACCTACTCGGTGCTTCGGAAGCACCCTAAGTACAGCCAGTATTCTTTAACTGGGTTGTGCTTTGGTATAATTTTTAATTTCCCTTCTTTCCATACAAGGGAACCTATTCATAAATAATTTTCAAAGGGTTTAAAGCACAACTCAGTTAAAGCATACCATACGTTTTCTGCTTAATACCGTGTTATACAGATATTTCATGATGTATGAGTGGCATATGATCTATGTTACGACATTTGCCAGAAAAGGTATTTTCGTTATACATTGTAGAATGATTGTTGTATGATGTGTTCGATGTTCCGGCTTTTATCTCAGAGCTGGGCCTATGGAATTGAAGCCAATTGTCCTCAGAGCTCTTGCAGCCCTTTAGCATCAGAAGGCGCCAGACTCCACAAAAACCTTCCATAACAACAAAACACGATGCAGGTGTGGCGGCCACCCCCCCCCCCCCCCCCCCCTCCGCGGTCCAATGCTCCCATGGTTCCCCCCCGCTCCCCCTCCTATGGTGGTTGGTGGTTGGGGGTGAGGGTTTGGGGTTTAAGGTGTAGAGAGGGTTTAGGGTTCGGGGTTCAGGGTTCAAGGTTTATAGGGTTTGGATTTAATTAGGCTCCCTCCACTGTGGTGTAGCTGGGGGGGCCGGGGGGTTGGGGTTTAGGGTTTAGGGTTGAAGGTTTAGGGGAGGGGGGATATACTTTTTCATATAGAAGTCATGCGTCGTAGTATCGAACCCGAAACCCTAAACCCGAACCTCTAATCCCCTCATCGCAGGTGTACGCCTTCCTCATGTGCGGCTTCATGTACCCGGTGGTGGTGGCGTGGACGTGGGGTGGGGGCTGGCTCAGCGACTTCCTGGAGGCCAGGTGTGTGTGTGTGTGTGTGTGTGTGTGTGTGTGTGTGTAGGGAGTCTCGGGCTGAGGGTACAGGGTTTCGGGTTTCGGGTTTAGGGTTTCAGGGTTTCAGGGTTTGGGGTTTGTGGGTTTAGGGTCCAAGGGCTCTAGTGGGGGGAGCGCAGCTGCTCCAACCTCTCCTCAATTCCATGCCCGACTTGGCGGCGGCAGTTGCCTCAAACTGGTTCAAGGGACGAAAGGTGGGACTTCTACAAGGGACATTCGGGTTATTTGGGGGTTATTTTGGGGTTACTCAGGTTTGCAGGGACTACACAAGAAGGTGTATCGGTGTATATAGAGCGGCGCTTTGCTTCAGGGACGAGACCTTTTCACTTCCTAGCAGAGGAACGGCAAAGGAGTCCGGAGCTCCCCAAGCCGAAAACCCCAAAAACACGAATCTTTGGACTCTGAATTCGGCCATAAGTTCTCACCTAAACCCTAAACCTTAAACCCTAAACCCTAAGCGCTAAACCCTAAACCCCAAACCCCAAACCCCAAACCCCAAACCCTAAACCCTAAACCCTAAACGCTAAACCCTACACCCTACACCCTACGCCCTAAACCCTAAACCCTAAACCCTTGATTCCTAAACCCTAAATCCCGAACCCGGCTTGTCGCAAGGTCGGCTACACCGACTTTGCTGGCAGCTGTGTGGTGCACGTGTCCGGCGGATCCTTGGATCTCCTTTGCCAGGCTGCGAACTCTCAGCCCCCACCCGGGTTTAGGGTTTAGGGTTGAGGGTTTAGGGATAGGGTTTAGGGTTTAGGGTTTAGGGTTTAGGGTTTAGGGTTTAGGGTTTAGGGTTTAGGGTTCTGGGAAAACCAGAACTGGCACCTTCAACTGCAGACCCGAAGCATCCTCAAAAATCGAGGAACCCTAGACACCCTCAAGCACTTGGACTAGACCCGACCCTTGCGGTTTAGGGTTTAGGGTTTAGGGTTCAGGGTTCAGGGTTCAGGGTTTAGGGTTTAGGCTTGCAGGGTCATGGAATTTGGGAGAGACTCCCCCAAGCGTGCCCCCCATCACGGCCCTCACCAGCTCCTCAGGATCGGGCGCTCTGGTGGGCACGCTTGTCTTGGGCTCGCGCCATGAGCGCTTCGAGCGACCGCAGGTTGGGGAGTTCAGGGTTTAGGGTTAGGGCTTGGTTTGGGGTTTGGGGTTTGGGGTTTGGGGTTTGGGGTTTGGGGTTTGGGGTTTGGGGTTTGGGGTTTGGGGTTTGGGGTTTGGGGTTTGGGGTTTGGGGTTTGGGGTTTGGGGGTTGGGGTTTGGGGTTTGGGGTTTGGGGTTTGGGGTTTGGGGTTTGGGGTTTGGGGTTTGGGGTTTGGGGTTTGGGGTTTGGGGTTGGGGGTTGGGGTTTGGGGTTTGGGGTTTGGGGTTTGGGGTTTGGGGTTTGGGGTTTGGGGTTTGGGGTTTGGGTTTGGGGTTTGGGTTTGGGGTTTGGGGTTTGGGGTTTGGGGTTTGGGGTTTAGGGTTAGGGTTGAGGGTTGGTTGTTGCCAGGGGGGGGGGGGAGGCGGGGAAGTCCTTTCTGTTGGGATGCTGGGTTCTTGACATTTCAGTTGTCAGGCCTTCATTTCGAGTCCTGAAGTCCCTACTCCTTCCTTCATGCCTGAGATCCTAGGTAGGACAAGGGGGGCCCTTAAAAGGGAACCCTTCTTAAGTGGCTGTCCTAAAGAGGGACCTTATCGAGAGGATCAATATCCCCAGGGCTCCCCCTAATCCCTAATCCCTAAACCCTAAACCCTGAAGCCTAAACCCCAAACCCCAAACCCCAAACCCCAAATCCCAAACCCTAAACCCTAAACCCTAAACCCTAAGCTCTAAACCCTAAATCCTAAACCCTAAACCCTGCCTGAGAGGCTTACGAGCCACACAACCTTCCGTTACTGGTGCTCGGGACACTCTTTCTTTGGGTCGGCTGGCGCCTTGACTCAGCTCGGATTAGCTTTTTGGGCGTAGGGCGTTAACCCTAAACCCTAAACCCTCGACCCTAAACCCTAAACTCTAAACCCTAAACCCTCAACCCTAAACCCTCAACCCTCAACCCTCAAACCCAAAACCCTAAACCCTAAACCCGGGCTTCTGTGGTTGAGATTTTGGGCCTGTCGTCCTTGTCTTCGCATCTCATTCCCCATTGCCGCAAAACCAAGGTCCCGAACCCAAGCCATCCGAGCCCAACCCAGTGACCCTAAACCCTAACCCTAAACCCTAAACCCTAAACCCTAAACCCTAAACCCTAAACCCTAAACCCGAAACCCTACACCCTAAACCCCTTAAACCCGCTAAGCCCCCTAAACCCCCTAAACCCGCTAAGCCCCCTTATCCCCGAAGATGGCCCCCTAAACCCCCTCAAAACCCCCTAAATCCCCTAAAACCAACTAAACCCCCTAAACCCCCTAAACCCCCTAAACAACCCTGAACCCCCTGAAACCCCAAAAAAACCCAAAAAAAACAACTAAACTCCAAACCCTAAACCCCCGAAGCCCCCTAAACCCCCTGAGCCCTTCAACCTTTAGCCACGAAGCCCCTCGAATTAGGATTGCCTTCAACATGGGCGCGGTGGCTTCCATGTGCCTTTGCCGTGCTCTTTGTGTTGCGTGAACATTGAGGGTAGGGTACCCTAAACCCTATACCCTAAACCCTAAAAGGGTTTATAGGGTTTAGAGCTTCGTGTGCCTGAGACGGCCTAATGTATGGGCTTGGGTTGAGGGGTTCCAGGCAGGTCTTTCGTCCGGGCGTTCCCTGAGCAGTGAAGGCACACGCAAGCAGGAGCAGCCCTGGCCGCGCAGGTCGCTTTGTCAAAGTTGGGTTCAGGATTTCGGGTTTAGGGTTTAGGGTTTAGGGTTTAGGGCTTAGGGGAAACATCTTACATCTTGAGGGTACTTAGAACCCAATAAGGAATTTAGATTTTTTTGAAATTATTCCAACCATGAACTAGGTTGCAGTGAACACTGTCCTTGCTGGTTCTGCCGGCGCGCTGGTGGTGTCCCTTGACTGGTTTTTTTTGCGGGGTAGACACAGCTAGCGGGAGAGTCATTGCCCATGCAAGCGAAGACTGCTTCAGCTGTTGGGAGAAACCGAGGTTCTGTGTGCGCTTTGCCACGACCCGGAAGTATGATGTGGTAGGACTGTGCAACGGGATCCTAGCCGGCGCAGTCTCGATAACCGCCGGCTGCGGGAACGTGGACGCCGCCAGCGCGCTCGCCATGGCATCGATTGGAGGTTTAGTCTACTGTGGCGCCTCATATCTTCTGCGGAAGATGCGGATTGACGATCCGGTGGATGCAAGTGCAGTGCACCTGGGCTGTGGTACCTGGGGCACCTTGGCAGCGGCTCTGTTTGATTGGGGGAGGGGCCTCGACTACTACCATGGCCGCCAGGGCTGGACATGTCTCGAAGCCCCTGATTCAGGGGATGGGGACAGGGTCTGCATGGGCGGAGCTGCACCACGAGCCGTTCTGGTGCAGCTCGTCTTCGTCCTCTGCGTCATCGCCTGGATGTGCACCTGGTCCCTGGTGATTTTTAAGCTCTTGACCTCGCTTGCTGGGCTTCGGATTGAAGACGAGGCAGGAGGCCTCGATTCGGCTGAGCTGGCCCAGAAGAAGGCTTACTCCCTGCAAGATCGGGAGGGGCCCAACTCCTGGCGAGTGCTGTGGTCGTAGCTGCCTCGCTTGTGCGGGGCCCAAGTAGAACCGGGGGAAGTTGAGAGGAGCAAGAGCTGAGAAATACCACGAGCAGTATCGGCAGTATCTCTTGGGTTTAGGGTTTAGGGTTTAGGGTCTAGGGTTTAGGGTTTAGGGTTTAGGGTTTAGGGAGTAGGAATCATGGAGCTGATTTTGTGTTCAAACGCGGTATCTCGGAGTCTTTTCGAGCAGTGGGTGCGCTGCTGCTGCCTGTGATGCCATCTTTTCTACCGAAGTAGAGTCCCTGTTTAGGGTTTAGGGTTTAGGGTTTGGGGTTTAGGGTTTAGGGTTTAGGGTGCTTTGCAAGATCTTGCAAGGCTTGGTCCTCGTCGTCAGTTAGTACACCGTCCCGGCAGGCAAAACCAATGATTTCTATTGCAGCGTTTGCGTTTGTAGAAGAGTAGTAATGAGCCGCAATAACTACCAATGCTCTTGTTATCTTTTTGAGCCGCAATAACTACCAATGCTCTTGTTATCATCATGTTATTCCTTTGTAATCCCAACAAATACATTCGGGCTCGCAATGCGTGGATGAAGCGGCGAGTAGAATGGGAGATCGTCTTTGTCTGTAGTGCTGTGCTTCCTAAACCCTAAACCCTAAACCCTAAACCCTAAACCCTAAACCCTAAACCCTAAACCCTAAACCCTAAACCCTAAACCCTAAACCCTAATTTATGCTCGAGGGGTGGAGACGCACGGACTTGTATTGTTCTGTTGTCGTGGACATCTCGAGTTGGCATGCATGTGCACGGTTTTGGACTCGGGGTCGGGATGTTTCCCCTTATACGAACAGTCTTTAATCGGGATTATAGTAATCCCCTGTTATAATCCCTATCAACGACTGTTAGTATAAGGGGGATTATTCCAAACTAAGGGTTTCTTTTCTGACCACAGCCTCGGAATTCGTGCAGAGAATAAGATTGACATGCGCGCGTGCTGACTAAATGGGCCAAGATACAGACACCACTGTGGTCCCTTCTTTCAGTACCCTAACTACAAGGCTCGGTAGAACAGTAGGAATCCGGGTTTAGGGTTTGGGGTTTAGGGTTTAGGGTTTAGGGCCCCCCAAAAAGGGACCACAATCAAGGGAAGCCCCCGACGGGAAGCGCCAGCTTCCTGCGAACCCGGCTTTTCGGACGTGCCCTCGTGATGCGCTGCGTGATGTACCCTGTGGGTTGAGTTTGAGCACCTCGGTCCGGGTTGAGGGTTTAGGGTTTAGGGTTTAGGGTTTAGGGTTTAGGGTCTAGATGCAATCTTTACTACAAGGGCCAAGCCCAAGCACTTCCCAGGGCCCTAGCCATCTTCGCATCAAGTGAGATGAAGAGCCGTTTGCCCCTAAAACTTGAACCCTATACCCCCTAAACCCTAAACCCTAAACCCTAAACCCTAAACCCTAAACCCTAAACCCTAAACCCTAAACCCTAAACCCTAAACCCTAAACCCTAAACCCTAAACCCTAAACCCTAAACCCTAAACCCTAAACCCTAAACCCTAAATAAACCCTAAACCCTAAATAAACCCTAAACCCTAAACCCTAAACCCTAGACCCTAAAACCTAAACCCTAAACCCTACACCCTAAACCCTCAAGACCGGGGTAAATAGAAATTGTATATGGTATCACTATGAATATCCAAAGTTGTTTGTCTAAACACCTGACATGCCGAGCTTAGGTAAGTCAATCAAAAGCGCCCTCGGAGGCCACATTTTCAATTCACTTAAACCTCTGGGTTGCAACTGAAAGCCTTTTCAGGCCTCTGAAGACGAGTTTATTCCGCCTATATGAAGGGCTGATGACCCTAAAGCAAAAACCGAAACCCGCCCACCCAAAACCCGCCCAAAACTTTCGCGAGGACACAGTTTCAATTCCCCTGAACGTCACGGAGGCAACTGAAATCCTTTCCGAATTTATTCCACCTATGTGAAGGGCTGAATGACCCTAAAGCACAAAACGAATCCCGCCCAAAACCCGCCCAGAAGCAAAAACCGAACCCCGCTCGAAACCCGCCCAAAGCTTTCGGTCAAAACTCCGGACCTGAACCCTATACAATTCCCGCCCAAAACCGTGCCAAAGCAAAATCCGAAGCCCGCTCACAACCCGTCCAAAACTTTCGGTCAAAACTCCGGACTTGAACCCTATACAATTTCCATAAACCCTAAACCCACAACCCTAAACCCTAAACCCTAAACCCTAAACCCTAAACCCTAAACCCTAAACCCTAAACCCTAAACCCTAAACCCTAAACCCTAAACCCTGGCGTTCAGGGTTCCTGTATCTCCCAAAGCAGAAACTATTCAGGCGGCTTGAGGTCAGGGAAGTCCTTTGCCTTGTCTCTAAGTCTGCTGGAACTGCGGTCTAAGACCTTGCAGCTCGGTTTGATATGATTCGGCATCGGCTTCGCAGTGAAAGTCTCTTGGTTTAGGGCTCAGGATTCAGGGTTCAGGTTTCAGGGTTCAGGTGTTTAGAATCATGATCACAAGGGAGTGGACAGTAGGTCTTTTTTAAGGCGAAGATGCGCGCAGGAGAGGCTTTGTAGGGATAAAGGGAGGCTTCGGTGGGGCTTGAAAGCGTCGTAGCCATGGCCTAGTAGAATCCTGACGCCCTAAGCCCAAAAGCCCCCAAACCCCCAACTCCCCCCCCCCCCCCCAAAAAAAAAAAAAAAAAAGCCAAAAACAGCAACAAAAAACACAAACAGAAAGCCCCAAACCGTCACACTCAGTCTTGCAGCATGTGGGGGCTGGCCAAGATTTTGGGCCAGGCAACTCCTTTGCCCAGAGCCCCTTTACACAAGATGACCCCCTAAACCCTAAGCCCTAAAAGCCCTAAACCCTAAGCCCTAAGCCCTGAACCCTCAACCCTAAACCCTAAACCCTAAACCCTAACCCTAAACCCCAAACCCCAAACCCCAAACCCCAAACCCCAAACCCCAAACCCCAAACCCCAAACCCCAAACCCCAAACCCCAAACCCCAAACCCCAAACCCCAAACCCCAAACCCCAAACCCCAAACCCTTGCTTTAAGAACGACCCCTTCTCTGCAGCCTTCATTGGTCATGCCATGGAGTTCGTTCCGGCTCATGAAGACATCTTAGGGATACTTGGAAATACTTAAAAATTTTTTTTTGGGTTTTGGGTTTAGGGTTTAGGGTTTAGGGTTTAGGGTTTAGGGTTTAGGGTTTAGGGTTTAGGGTTTAGGGTTTAGGGCTTCGGGATGGGGCTTCACTGTGAGGAAGCTTGTTAGGCAAGTCTCGCGATATCCCAAAGGCTGCACCCAACAAGAAGGCAAAGCCGCCACCCTCAGGGGTTTAGGGTTTAGGGTTTAGGGTTTAGGGTTTAGGGTTTAGGGTTTAGGGTTTGGGGTTTAGGGTTTGGGGAAGTAGGCGTGGTCTAGTGTGGTTCTGCGCTGCCCTCAGAAGCAGGAGCGGTTTAGTGGCTTTGGATACCTCATGTAGTGTTGCTTGTAGAGGACACGTCCGAAGGCCAAAGCCTCCTCCACCACCCCTAAAGCTCTAGTCCCCGCCCCACCACCCACCCCAAACCCTCAGCCCTAAACCGTAAACCCTGAGCCCTAGACCCTAAGCCCTGAGCCCTAAACCCTAAACCCTTCCATGTGCATGTTGCGATGGCTGGTGCCTTTCTCCGGCGTTGGCCTGGGCCTGGCTAGCCAAGCCGCGCGACGAGAGCTTGCTAGGTGAACCCTGCACCCGCTACAAGGGTCCTAAGGGTTTTGGGGGGCGGGGGGTTTTTAGGGTTTAGGGTTGTCCACAGGGTTTAGGGATGTCCGCAGTACCCTAAACCCTAAATCCTAAATCCTCAACCGGTATTCGGGTCTTGGGGCTTGTTAGGGTTGAGGGATGTCCACCGTACTCTTACTGAGCTTTCGCCAAGGGTTGAGGTCGGTCTTAGAGTTTAAAATCTGGGCCTTGGTGTTGCCACTGTGTAAGGGTAGTTGTATGGTAATTTCTCTAAATTATGGTCCTTTTTGGGGGGGTCCTTATTGTAAGGTGGCCCCTCTTATTTAGGGTACCCAAAAAGGGACCTAATTTAGAGAACTGACCAAAAGGCCCCTGAATTTAGATGCCCTGTACAATCCCTAGGTACCCTAAACCCTGACCCTAAACCCTAAGCCCTAAGCCCTAAGCCCTAAACCCTAAACCCTAAACCCTAAACCCTAAACCCTAAACCCTAAACCCTAACCCTAAACCCTAAACCCTAAACCCTAAACCCTAAACCCTAAACCCTAGACTTTTGTCCTTACGGCTTTGAACCACGGCGTGCCCGAGGCCCCTCATGCATCCATACTGGAAGAGGCGGGGCCCAGCCTACTCTGCCTGGGCTTTGAAGGGGGGGTTGAGGCTCAGGGTTTAGGATTTAGGGTTTATGGGGTTTATGGCGCAGGATGCAGAAGAGGCTCGAAAGCTTCGTCAGGTGCGAAGAGCAGCCCGGGCCCGATTCTGAAGGGCCATCTAACACCTTTCTCCCACCCCACGCCGTCCAAGGCAAAGCCACCTTCACCTATTCCTTTCAGGTTTAGGCCCGAAACTCAACTCAAATGCCTACTTCAAAAAAACTTCTTCTGTTGCCGATACTGCGCCAGGCCCGTTCAAGGGGGGCCCAGAGACAAAGGGTGCCAGGTGCCCTTGGGGTTTCAGGCGGGTCCTCGGCAGGTCTCAGGGCGTCCCTGGGGTGTGGGTTCTGGTTCGAGGAGAACGGTCTGTCCGGGCCAACTGACCTCCCGGCTGACCTGGGCTCGCGCTATCGACCTCGGGCAAGAAGTCGTTGTTTCACCAGGTATCCAGAGAGAGGGCTTGTGTGGGTTTCGATTTGTAAGTTGGGGTCCCTGTCTATGTCTGGGGGCCTCTTATCATATCGGTCTTTCTCTGTCGGAAGCCAACATCAACAGAAGAGGTGAAGGCTTCTTTGCAGAAAGGGTTTAGGGCTTACGGCTTCGGGCTTCGGGCTTCGGGCTTCGGGCTTCGGGCTTCGGGCTTCGGGCTTCGGGCTTCGGGCTTCGGGCTTAGGCTTCAGGGTTCAGGGCTTAGGGCTTAGGGTTTAGGCTTCAAGGATCAGGGTTTAGGGTCACTATGTTTTGGAACAGGGCACTTTCCAATTTCAGTCTCGGCTCAGCCGGCAAAGTCTGAGTCGCAGCCTCGAGGCTAGACGCTCGGTTTGTCTTGTTGATATGGCGATTTCTCTAAATTAGGGTCCCGTTTAGGGTTGCGATGATAAGGCGGCCCCTAATATTTCGGGTACGTACCCCAAAAGCGGACCATGATTCTGAGAACTGGCCATATGGGGTCTGGTCGAAGTTAGCTATGTCAGTCTTGTTTGGAGAGGGGGAGGTCCGTATTCTTTACGTTCCTACTCTAGATTCAGGTACCAAGAAGACAGGCCCAGATATTTGTATGCGTTTGGCTTTGGAATGGTTGAGGGATTGAGGTCGAAAGGTTGCTGCGACGTGCAGGGTTCTGTATTAAATTAGGGGTTTAGGGTTTAGTCCTCCGCGATCTCGTAACCCGAACACGAACCCTTAGCCCCTGACACCTTCACCCCGACCCCCCCGGCCTCAAGCTGCACGAAGCCACGCACAAGTAACAACCCCAAAGCCAAACCTTAAACCCCCCTAAACCCTAAACCCTAAACCCTAAACCCTAGACCCTAAACCCGAAACCCTAAACCCTAAATCCTAAACCCTCCCTAAACCCTAAACCCTCCCTAAACCCGAAACCCAAAACCCTAAACCCTAAACCCTGCTAAGCTGCCAGTTCCTTCGCCTGCGGGTCTTCAATGCCGAGCAGCGCCAGGCCACGCTCGTCTCCCTGGTGGTGCCCTCGGATTCAGGGTTAGGGTTCAGGGTTTAAAGGTGTAGGGTTTAGGGTTTGGGGGGGTTTAGGGTTTAGGGCTTAGGGGTTAGGGTTTAGGGTTTAGGATTTAGGGTTTAGGGTTTAGGGAATCCAGCTGCATAGTAGCTCCCGAAGCCCCAAGATGCCAAGGCCCTCATTTCCCAATTCCCTGAGCTCTAAAACTCCCCAACCACCCTCAACCTTTCCGGTACGTATATGGTCACCCTAAACCCTAAACCCTTGACCCTAAACCCTAAACCCTAAACCCTAAACCCTAAACTATGGTCCCCTTTTGAGGGTGCTGTTTTATAAGGCGGCCCTCTTAGTTAGGGTACCCCAAAGGAACCATACTTCTGAGAAGTGACCATATGCAGGGGACTCATAGCCTTGCTTGCGAGTACCCTTCGGTGCGTTCGACGCTTGCGGGTACGTGGGTAGTTGCTCGGAACACCGCGAGCGCCAGGCGAGAAACCCCATCTGACTGGGATCGCATCACGTCGGTTTGGGCTTTAGGCTCAGGGGTTTGGGGGTTTCGGGTTCAGTCTTTCGAGTTTTAACATCAGGGTTTAGGCTGCAGCGTGGGCGGTTCAGGGTACCTCGGTTCAGGGTTCAGGGTTAAACGTTGGCATTCAGGCGTAGAAGGAAGCTTGCAGACATCGTTTGGCCGCGGGCACTCGATTTGATCAAGAGAGGCAGAAGAGGACCTTAAATCTGAAAAACCCGAAACCTGAACCCCTTAGACGGAACTCCCAGGCCCTGAAAGAATGGAGTCGGTGTCCCGCGACCTCGGTTGACCCTAAACCCTAAACCCTAAACCCTAAACCCTAAACCCTAAACCCTAAACCCTAAACCCTAAACCCTATACCCAAAAGCCCTCCACTTTGAGGAAAGCCAGTGCTTCCCACAAGGTCTCCATGGCGCGGATTCGGCGAAAGCTGGAGGAAGCAGGTAGCCTTCTTTGCGGTTTCGGATTTTAGGGTTTCAACCTTAGGGTTTAGGTTTAGGGTTTAGGGTTTAGGGTTTAGGGTTTAGGGTTTAGGGTTTAGGGTTTAGGGTTTAGGGTTTAGGGTTTAGGGTTTAGGGCGTTTAGCGTTTAGGGTTTAGGGTTTGGGGCTAGGGTTAGTCATGACTGCATGGCGATTCGGTATGGGGTCGTGGTTCTCGAGTTTGAGGCATTAATAAACCCTGAGCCCTAAACCCCAAATCCTAAACTCTAAAGACACTGAACCCTAAACTCTACAGCACACCCGTATCCCTAAGAATGAAGTCCCCCCAACCCCTGAACCCTAAACCCTAAACCCTAAACCCCAAATCCTAAACCCTGAACGCCAAACCCCGATCCTCCAACCTGAGAGTCCCCCTTTCGTAAGGCGGAAAGCCAGACGCCTCAGTGTGCTTTCGGGATCTTTGGGTTGAGGGTTTAGGGTTTAGGGTTTAGGGTTTGAGGTTTAGGGTTTAGGGTTTAGGGTTTAGGGTTTAGGGTTTAGGGTTTAGGGATCCTTGGGGTGTGGGATTGAGGACGTTGCTTTGGTCAAGTGTCGCATGCCCCACATGGGGAAGAGTCGGCTGGTTTTGCCGGCCTTCTTGTGTCAAGCCTGGACTGCAAGTTTGGGAACGTGAGGGAACCCTAAACCCTAGACCCCAAACCCCAAACCCTAAGCTTCCCTAAGCCCTATAAGCTATAAGCCCTAAGCCCTAAACCCTAAACCCTAAACCCTAAACCCTATACCTAAAACAAAGAAAGAAGGAGGGTGTGCAGTAAGGCCTCAAGCCTCCTACTGTAGGGCCTTCCCCGGGTTGATCGGCTGTGGGTTCGGCAACGCGGGCACGAAGGAACCTAGCATCTAGTAGGTTTATCGCGACGCGCTTTTTGTTTGAGGGGATCCGAAGTATGGGCCCTTATTTGGGTCCCCTGTTATATGACCCTTATATACACTATACCATACTACTGAGGGCCTATACTTCGGAGCCCTTTAAACAAGAGTAAGGGGCCATACCCTTAGATTTGTAAGAGCTGTTGATGCTTGTGTTTGTTTTTTGTTTGTTTAGGTTTTTGTTTGTTCTTCGTTCCCTTGTATGTGAGTCCCACCAAACAAAATTAAAATAGGGGTACCCATCGTTTCAAGGTTCCTGGGGTGAAGTTGCCCGGCCAGGCGTGAACCACACGAAGCCCGCGTTCAACTGTCCAGAGCCAGGCACCTTGTTGCGAGCAGATCTTTTCAGGACAAGAACCCCCTGTAACATTCCTCGCCACCTCAGCCAGAAGATGGAAGGAGTGTGTAAGAGTACTTGTATGATTGCATGATGCGTCGAGCCTCTGTCTTTGCTTCGGGGAGGAGGGGTGGTTCAATGAACTGCATCAGAGTGCACGAGGAAGCGCTCTTCTAGACGTTGTTCTTGTGGCTGGTGCTGATGTTCGGGATTCGGGATGCTGTGCATGTCTAGGAACGCCCCTGAGATCCTGACACCCTGAAACACTGAAACTTCGACCCTATAAACCCTGAACCCCTGAAACCTAAACCCCCAAAACAGACTTTAAAGCCTAGAACCCCTGACCCCCCCAAATTTCTGGGATGGTTCGTGCCACGCCCAGGCGCTGGAGTCGAAGAGGACTCCACGAGCGTCATGGAGGCTGAGCCCCTAAACCCCAAATTCCTGAACCCGAAACCCTAAACCCCAAACCCCAAACCCCAAACCCTAAACCCTAAATCCTAAACCCTAAACCCTAAACCCTGAACCCTAAACCCTGAACCCTAAACCCTCAACCCTAAACCCTAAACCCCCTAACTCCTAAACCCTGAGCCGAAATCCTAGCCCACCTTCCCGTATCCCAAGCGCCCTGGGGTCCAGGCCAGTTGGGTCCCGAAGTGCTTAGCGTCTATGAGACTTCTGGTGTTCACCTCTGTGTCGACTTCATCAGCCCCTGCTACCCCCCCTCTACACTACCCCCCCCCTGGCTTCCCCCCCATAACGAAGGCCACTTAGGGATCATGAAGCCTGATTGAGGCTCTTTTCAGGGCAAATAGGGGGTAGTATGGAGGGTCTAGGGTTGAGGGATTAGGGTGCAGGGGTTCAATAGGGAAACCCATGAAGGCTACAGTGCTGGTTAGGGGGAAATGGCAGCCGGCGTCGGAGCCTTGCTCGTCACACAACATATGGGTAGTTCTCTAAACCCTAAACCCCAAACCCTAAACCCCTAAACCCTCATCCCTAAGCCCTAACCCCTAAGCCCTAAACCCTAAACCCCAAACCCCAAACCCTAAACCCAAAATCCTAAACCCTAGCCTTAGAATGATTAAACCCGGAGGTTAGGGTTAAAGGCCTGACTACCCTTCTGCCATGCCTGCCTTCATGTCTGGTTTAAGGTTTAGGGTTAGGGGTTTAGGGTTTATGGGTTTGGGGTTTGGGGTTTAGGGTTTGGGGTTGCGGGCGCGCCCAGCAATCGTTTGCCAGGTGGTTTGGTTGATGGGCAAGTAGGCAGTAGGTCGGCCAAGACCCAAATACCACAAAGGACTACAGAAGAAGCTCTTCCGCTACGCAGACTTCATGTAGGTTAGGGTCGTATGGTCTTGGGGACCCTAAACTCTAAACCCTAAACCCAAAACCCTAAACTACCACACCACTCCTCGGTGCGCCAACCAGGACTTTCACTACAAGAAGTTCCGACTGTGGGCAGAGGCCATTCACAAGTTTCCTTTGGCCTAGTTCAGGGTTCAGGGTTCAGGGTTCAGGGTTTAGGGTTTAGGGTTTAGGGTTTAGGGTTTAGGGTTTAGGGTTTAGGGTTTCTTTCGCAAAACATGAACCTAAAGCCCGAAGAGGGACGCCAGATCCTTGATCCTGAAGCCTCGAAGGCCAAAGATGCCCGTGGTTGACCGAAACTTTTTTGTTTATATATATATATATTCTTTGTTTATATATATATATATACACACATTTTTTGTGTACTGTAATTCCTAAGAAACAGCTAAAATCTCAATTTTTGCTAGGGCTCAGTCTTGTGAAGCTCTTGTAAATCCTAAACCCTGAGCCCCAGATCGCAGCAGCGAGAACCAGAACGCACTATAGTTTCTTCTCAGCTGTCCGGGGTTCTTGGAATTGGTGGAAAGCCTGAACCCTAAACCCTAAGCCCTAAATCGCCACCTTGAGGGGGAAGTGGGGACGCGGGAGGGGGGGGTGGGGGGGCTGTGCAGAGCTTCAGGGTTGAGGTTTATGAATCAAGGTTTCAGCGTTTGAGGTTTAGGGCTTAAACCTAAACCCCAACCCCAAACCCTAGACCCCAAGCCCTAAACCCTCAACCCCAAACCCTGCACCCTAGACGTGCTTGTCTGGGATGCCCTCTGTACTGCACATGTTCATCACTTCTTCTTTGCTTGCTAGGCTTTCTGCAAAATCCTTAGGAATCCTTTGGATGTCAGTGCTTGAATTTGGACCGCCTAGGTATCTCAGGTTCTATGGGGCGTTACGACAAGCAGGGACCCCAAATATAGTCCCCAAACTAGTAGCATTCCCTGATAGTACGGACCTCGATAAGGTACCCCTAATTTCGGAAACCCCTAAACTCAAGCCCTACACCCTAAGCCCTAGACCCTTATCATGGAACCCCCTACAATGTCCTCTCAGCCCCCGGCAGGACTTCGATTTCTGCTCCTCTTCCCTGGGTTTGTGGACTGGCGGCTGCGGGGCTGTGTGTGCTCTGAGGCGGGCATCTGTCAACGCCCTAAACTCTGAACCCTAAACCCATACACCCTAAACCCTAAACCCTAAACCTGAACCCCAAACCCTAAATCCTAAACCCTAAACCCTAATGGGGCTTAGGGTTCAGGGTGAACTGAAACTCCGTGCCCTGCACTTTGAGGTGTCGGTCGGGTTGAGGGTTGATTCGGGCTGGGGAAGGCTCGGAAACCCAAAGCCTCTACAAGCCCTAAACCCGAATCCCTGCACCCGAGATCCTGAGCCCCAAATCCCGCATGATTTCTGACTGCAACCCCAAAAACACTACACTCTCAACAAGCTAAGGCCAGGTCCAGGGCGTTTCCGAGTTAAGACTTTTTGAGTTTGGGGTTGGGGGTTTAGGGTTTAGGGTTTCGGGTTTAGGGTTTAGGGTTTAGGATTTAGGGGGTTGCATTGCAAAAGATTTGCGGGCCTAGGGTTTAGGCTTCAGGGTTTAGGGTTTAGGGTTTAGGGTTTAGGGTTTAGCGTTTTGCTTGTGGAATCCTCCGGCTCTTGCCACAAAGCCCTAGACGCTCAACCCAAAGACAATGCGCCTTAATCTAAAGAAGCCCGACACCACCCTGCGCAAAACCCTAAACCCTAAACCCTAAACCCTAAACCCTAAACCCTAAACCCTAAACCCTAAACCCTAAACCCTAAACCCTAAGCTGAAGGCCCGAATTGTCGACTGACCTAAGAAAACAATGCCAGGGCCGCCGTCGTGGGCCACATGGTCCAGCTCCGCCCGGGGCAGCTGGTCCTGGATGTCGGGAAGCCTGGCCAATGAACATGGCAGGATTCACACTTTAGGGTTCCCCTAAACCCTAAGCCCTAAACCCGAAACCCTAAACCCTAAACCCTAAACCCTAAACCCTAAACCCTAAACCCTAAACCCCAAACCCAAAGCCCTAAGCCCTAAACCCGAAACCCGAAACCCGAAACCCAGGGCTTTGGGATTTAGAGAGCCCTGAACTCCGCACCCTAAAGCCCTAAACCCTGCCCGCTGAGCTAAGCAGTGGCTGGAGCCCCCAACCTAAACCCCTCAGATCTGCGGTAGCAGGTTAAGGTTTAGGGTGTAGGGCTTTGGGCTTAAAGATGAGCGGGAACATCCCTAAACCCTAACCCCCTAAACCAGCTAAACCCCCTAAACCCCCTAAACTCTATAAACCCAATAAAATTTAACAGTCCTACAAACCTTGCAACCCCTACAAAACCCTACAAACCCTACAAACCCAAAACCCGAAACAAACACCCCAGCAAGAGGAACCTCCCCCCCTCCGCTGCCGAACCTGAATCTAGGTGAGTCTGCAAGCCTGAGGGTTTGAGGATGTTTGAGGTTTGACTCCACGCTTTCTCATCCTACGTCGCCTTTCAAAGCTCTTAATCACTGTTTGTGCGCATCGAGCCTTCGTCGTTGGGGTGCGATAGGACAAGTATCTGGAAGCCTGAGCCCGAGAATGGGTAGTATCCAGCCTCGCAGCATTTAGGCAGGAGGGCGGTTTTTGTTCTGCATGCCAGTCCTCTCAGGCAAGGTGAACTAAAACTGCTTGTTATGTTGGTTGCGTACTTCTGCAGACTCATCGCTTCACGTGGCAGCTGTTGTCGAAGAACCCTGAATGCCCCGAAGCATTTGCTTCGTTCTGTCTGGGGGGGTCTGTAGCCATGGATCCTCCAGGGTTCTTGCAGCGGGCGCAAACAAACCTCGCACGCCCGGCGCTTCGCCAACCTGATGCATACAAGCAGCCCAGATGCGTGAGCTTCGTTTCGCCGATGAGGAGGTTGATCTCGTTTACCTTCACCATGCTGCCGTTGGCAAGAGTCGTTTTGAGGGCGAGGCCAAAGAAGCGGCAACGTGAGGCTGTGGCAGGGGTCAAGGTGTTCATCGACGGGGATTCCATGCCGCCCGCAAAGGTGGTGCCATGGTTGAGGAAGCTGGAGGCTGAGAAGCATGAGCCTGTAGTGTACAAGGCAGTTGGGAAGTCAGTAGATGCTGAATCTGCAAAGTCCAAGCTGTTAAAAGCTGGGATTCCTGAGAGTCGCATTCACATCAGACAAGCTGAAAGTCAGGCAAAAGATGCTGCGGATGCGATCCTGTCTGTTTTATACGGGAGGCATGCTGGGAAATGGAATGTAGTGCTCTCCAATGACAAGCAGTGGTTCGGAGAACTGCCCCATCTAGAGGATGAAGCACACAAAAGCACCCGCTGGTTCACGTTCAAGGAGCTGAAGGATCGGGACCCGCGCAAGATCTTTGATGGTTACGAAGCACACACTAAGCGTTCCTTGCAGGGAACGAAAGATGCAGGAGCCGACACAGAGTCGCCGGTTGCGTTGACTGCAGATCAGGCACTGTTTCTAGAATATTGCCGCTCAAAGAAAACCTTGTATCAGAGTTGGAAAACGGTGCCTAAGCTTGCACAGAGCATCATGGCAGTGTATGGCGGCGCGCGCTTTGGGAAGTTCAGGCAGCAGCATGGTGGTGGCAAGAAGGCGCGAAAGCTGGTGAATGACGATGTCGATGAGCTTGCTTCGCTGGTAAGGGCAGACCTAGAAGCACAGACGCAGCCGCCAGAACCAATGTCAACAAAGCCAACAAAGCCAAAGGAGTCGAAGAAGTCAAAGAAGTCTGACCTGTCTGCGCTGAGGGCCGCAGATCAGGCACTGTTTCTAGAATATTGCCGCTCAAAGAAAGCCTTGTATCAGAGTTGGAAAACGGTGCCTAAGCTTGCACAGAGCATCATGGCAGTGTATGGCGGCGCGCGCTTTGGGAAGTTCAGGCAGCAGCATGGTGGTGGCAAGAAGGCGCGAAAGCTGGTGAATGACGATGTCGATGAGCTTGCTTCGCTGGTAAGGGCAGACCTAGAAGCACAGACGCAGCCGCCAGAACCAATGTCAACAAAGCCAACAAAGCCAAAGGAGTCGAAGAAGTCAAAGAAGTCTGACCTGTCTGCGCTGAGGGCCGCAGATCAGGCACTGTTTCTAGAATATTGCCGCTCAAAGAAAGCCTTGTATCAGAGTTGGAAAACGGTGCCTAAGCTTGCACAGAGCATCATGTCAGTGTATGGCGGCGCGCGCTTTGGGAAGTTCAGGCAGCAGCATGGTGGTGGCAAGAAGGCGCGAAAGCTGGTGAATGACGATGTCGATGAGCTTGCTTCGCTGGTAAGGGCAGACCTAGAAGCACAGACGCAGCCGCCAGAACCAATGTCAACAAAGCCAACAAAGCCAAAGGAGTCGAAGAAGTCAAAGAAGTCTGACCTGTCTGCGCTGAGGGCCGCAGATCAGGCACTGTTTCTAGAATATTGCCGCTCAAAGAAAGCCTTGTATCAGAGTTGGAAAACGGTGCCTAAGCTTGCACAGAGCATCATGTCAGTGTATGGCGGCACGCGCTTTGGGAAGTTCAGGCAGCAGCATGGTGGTGGCAAGAAGGCGCGAAAGCTGGTGAATGACGATGTCGATGAGCTTGCTTCGCTGGTAAGGGCAGACCTAGAAGCACAGACGCAGCCGCCAGAACCAATGTCAACAAAGCCAACAAAGCCAACAAAGCCAAAGAAGTCAAAGAAGTCAAAGAAGCCGTCCGTGAAGGTCATTGCTCAAGCCTTCTTGGAGGAGTACCGGGGATGTCTCCCTGAAGCGAAGCTCAGCATCAATCAGTTCAAGAAAATCTTTGACGGAAAGCGCTTTCGGAAGCTGGTCGGGAGCAGCAAGCACGCTGACATTTCCTCGCCTGGCGCAGCGAAAGTTTTTGAGTACGTTCGCAACCTCCTGAAGACGCCTAAGCCCATTCGAGGCGTTGACAAGGACTGCTTGCCTCTGCGAGCAAGAGTAATGTTTTCGATGGTTTGAACTCGACCGCGCAGGCTTCAGGGTGTAATGTAGGGGTCGGAATACTAATAGCATTCCCTTATGATTATGGTCCCTACATAGTCACACTATAGTTAGCCCCTAAACCCTAAACCTAAACCCTTAAACCCTAAACCCGAAACCCTAAACCCTAAACCCTAAACCCTAGACCCTAGACCCTAAACCCTACACCCTAAACCCTATCCCCTAAGCCCTGAGCCCTAAGCCCTAAGCCCTTAACCCTATTCGAATTAACCTCGGAAAGGGCAAGGCAGAGCTCAAAGCATCTTGCTTTCGAGGGCGCCTTTGTCTCAGCACTATCCCTTGTCGGGTTTAGGGTTTAGGGTTTAGGGTTTAGGGTTTAGGGTTTAGGGTTTAGGGTTTAGGGTTTAGGGTTTAGGGTTTAGGGCTGGGAGTCACGCAGGTGCCTCTGCAAATGCCCCCAAAGTGCGTGACCTTCACGGCAGCTGGGAGAGATGTTGCATAGGCTATCCACTTTCCCAAGAGCCCCATAAGCTCCTAAGCCTTGAAGCTTAAACCCTCAGACCTTCAAACCCTCAAACCATCAAGCCCTCAATTCCCTAAATCTTGAGCCCCTCAAACCCTAAGCAGAAGCCAGTCCTGTAAACACCCGAGACCTTGAACCCTTAACCCTGAAGCTCTCGACCTCTTCTGAAAGCCCCCAAGTATAAGCCCCCAAGCATGCAGCCTCGAGGTTGGAGAAGTCCAAGCCACCCCTGACATCCTGGACACCCCGAGCCCAAACTCTAAACCCTAAACCCTAAACCCTAAACCCTAAACCCTAAACCCTAAACCCTAAACCCTAAACCCTACACCCTAAACCCTAAACCCTAAACCCTAAACCCTAAACCGTAAACCCTAAACCCTAAACCCTAAACCCTAAACCCTAAACCCTAAACCCTAAACCCTCAACCCTCAACCCTCAACCCTAAACCCTAAACCCTAAACCCTAGACCCTAAACCCTAAACCCTAAACCCGAGAAAACCTAAAACAGCCCTTGCAGCCCTCAGGTTGGATCCGGCTGCGGCCACTTCGCGGAGTGGTTCCATGTGCCTAAGCAAGGTTTAGGGTTAGGGTTTAGGGTTTCGGGTTTAGGGTTTAGGGTTTAGGGTTTATTTAGGGTTTAGGGCTAAGGGTTTAGGGTTTAGGGTTTGCTTGGAGGTTCACGGTACTTATTAACCAATGATAGCACCACTTGTAAGCCCCTCAAGTGCCCTAAAGAACACTTGTAGTTTTAAGTACAGTTTTAATTGGTTCATAAGTGCCATGAACCTCGAAGTAGGGTTTATGGTTTAGAGGTGCATGGTGTGCTCAGCAGGTCGCGTGCTGGCAAGCGCGCAGGGGAAGGCAGACATGTGTTTCGTCTAAGGTTGTCTCAAGGTTGTTTTCTCTTCCAGCGTTCCAGCGGCCTGGGTAGGCTTCTGGCCTCCAAGCCCCTTGCCAAACCGGGGACCTTCCAGAGGTCAGGGTTTAGGGTTGGGGGGTTTAGGGTCTGGGGTTTCGGGTTTAGGGCACCCCCTAGTCCTATGAAGGACTGTGAGTACAAGGGGAAGCATGAATGAGAGAATTTCAAGGGGCCAGGGGCAGCCTCCAACACGCAAAAGCCGTGCCTTTCTCAGTGGCAGTGCTTGGCGACCTTTGCCGCGGTAGCAGAGCCGGCGATCTAGGGTTTAGGGTTTGGGGTCGAGGGTTTAAGGTTTAGGGTTTAGTGATTATAGTAGTATAGGGCTTAGGGTTTGAGTCCTGTGCCTTTGAAGGCATTTTAGTCGTAACGGGTATACGTTCCTCACTTTAGGGTTCTGCAGTCACTAAGGTAGCTGTTATGTTTCCTAGGTCCTAGGCTACTGTTTGCCGATGCTTCAGAAGCCTACGACCTCAGGAGCACTTCCACCCAAACCATTTCACCCTAACGCCCAAAGCCCTAAACCGCAGCAATGTCCGCTTGAAGCTTAGGGTTTAGGGTTAGGGCTTAGGGTTGGCGTAGGGTTTGGGGTTTAGGGTTTAGGGTTCAGGGTTTTGCAAGGACTGGTTTGGGGCACAGACGATCGGCGTCGACTTTCAGAAGGCTGGCGTCGACTATGCCAACAAGCATGTGCCGGTCTCAGGGGGTTTAGGGTTTAGGGTTTAGGGTTTAGGGTTTAGGGGCTTCATGGGTTTCATCCCCGAGCCCCAGATCAACCACTAGCGCCCCCAAATCCTATATTATGGACCCGGGGACTGCTTGCACCTCCATCCTAGGGGCCCTAAGCTCTCTAAGCCCGAGACCATCTAAGCCCTTAGTGTTCCGAGTGTGTGTTGGAGAGCGAACGGAACTTCAATTCGGCCTTTTTTTCTGGGAGATTTAGATTTAGATCTTTGTAGCTTCTTCAGGTTTGGCTCAATCTCCTTCTGTCCGTTCGCGCCGTTTGACTGCAGCGAGGAACATCCGAGCAGCTCCAAGCAATACGAGCTGCAGCCTGGCCTCCCACCTGACTTTCCCGCAATCACGCCGAGGTCGCGACCTCCGTCCCAGCTCAGTTTTGCTGGCAGCTTGGCGGCACTAACCCTAAACCCTAAACCCTAAGCCCTAAAAACCCTAAAAACCGTATACCCTCCCCTTTCGTCGTGTTTTTTGAGAACGTTTTTCGGCCTTAGGGTGAACGTCGGGTTCTCTCTTTCATGTCTTCGGGGCTCAAAAGGCTGCCTGTAGATGTAATGTGACACGAAGTCGCTTCTCTAAGCTATGGCTCCCTTTTTGGGACTACTATTAGGGTTTAGGGTTTAGGGTTTAGGATGTAGGGTTTAGGGTTTAGGGTTAATACAAGACGGCCCCTAATATTGAAGGTATCCAAAAGGGACCAGAAGTTGAGAACTGACCACGCGAAGTCCCTGAAATGAACACATGGCGGTTTGTTGTAGCGCGCAATCCTTAAGGACGAATTGAAACCTAAACAGGGTTTCTGGTACATATAGCTTAATCACCCCCCCCCCTACCCCCTAACATTGAAGACCCCCCTTCATATACTACAATACAACTATACTGGGGGTAAGGGGGTTTTAATATTAGGGGGAGATGAATAGGAATTATCATAGTGTGCTCATCCCAAACGCTAGCTTACTAGAAGCGTACTTGGAGGTTCATGGTACTTAGGAACCAATTATCGCTGTACTTATCACCCACTTATCAGCCCCTTACAGTTTTGATTGGTTAAGAAGTACCATGAAACTCCAAGTAGGGTATATGACCCCAATTTCAGGGCTCATTTGGTTTTCAACGAGGGTCACCTTGTGGGCCCTTTCGTGCCCCTCTAAACCCTAAACAATAAACCCTAAACCCTAAACCCTAAACCCTAAACCCTAAACCCTAAACCCTAAACCCTAAACCCTAGACCCTCAACCCTAAACCCTAAAACCCTCCTTCGAGTGTGGACCGGGCCTTCCTATGGCCCAAGAGGGGCTCCCAGACTTTCGCGAGCCGTGGGCAGCTCTTTCACTGACATCGGGCTCTAGGGTTTAGGGTTTAGGGTTTAGGGTTTGGGGTTTAGGGTTTAGGGTTTAGGGTTTAGGGCTTAGGGTTCGCCAACCAACCTGCCCAGGATGGACGTGGCCTCGCAACTCTCCAGCCGGTGGCTTCCCCCCCGCAGTGTGGACTTGGCAATTGCCATCAGTGCCCGGCCGCCTCAGACCGACAAGGTTAGGGTTCAGGGCTTAGGGCTTAGGGCTTAGGGTTTAGGGTTTAGGGGTCTAGGGGTTTAGGGTTTAGGGTTTAGGGTTTAGGGTTTAGGGTTTAGGGTGTATGGGTTTAGGGTTTAGGGTTTAGGGTGTATGGGTTTAGGGTTTGGGGTTTGGGGTTTGGGGTTTGGGGTTTAGGGTTTGGGGATCCATCTTCAGCCCAGAAAGGCCCTGAATTGTAGACAGCAGGTTCCCTCTGCAGACCATCCCCAACAAGGTATACTGTGTAGGTATACCCATACGAATGGTCCCCATCTTGCGGGGGCTGCAATTTCGAGATGTTGGGGTCACGCGCTTGGGTCTGCAGCCAGAACAACCTTAAACCCTAAGCCTTCAAAACCTGCAAATCCAGAGGCGAGAATACTGAGGTTCTTTCAGGTTTTGCACGGAAGTAGGGTTTGGGGGTCTAGGGGTTTCGGGTCTGGGGTCTAGGGTCTAGGGGTTTAGGGCCCCGACATCCGAAAAGCTGGAGCCCTGGAGCTGAACTCCTCAGTTGCTGCGACAGCTTGGCTCACGTACCGATGGCCACCACGGGAAGATGTCGGTCCAATCATCATGCCGGAGGTTCATGCCCAGCTAAACCTCTAAACCCGAAGCCCTGCACCCTTACACCCCTAAACCCCTAAACCCCTAAACCCCTAAACCCCGAAATTAAACCCAACTTCCCAAAGCCCTGCACCCTAAACAAAGGGGCGAGGTCGGGCTAGAGTCCGCCGGAGTTCTGCCCATCAAGCTCTGGCAAACCCCTTGAGTCTCAACGGCCCTTCCTTGCCGAATGCCATGGAGCAGCCGGCCACAGAGCTCCAGCTACCCCCAGCCCCAGGCCTCTTTCCGAAGAGGGTTTGCGATTCGGGTGCTGGAGAAGAGCAAACCCTAAACCATAAACCCTAAACCCTTAACCCTAAACCCTAAACCCTAAATAAACCCTAAACCCGAGCCCTAAACCTAAAATCCCCCCAAGCTCTTTCAAAGCCGTACCCTCCCCATTTTTTGCTTGCGGAGATGTCGGTGCGAGAAGAGTCATATAGCAGGCCCAGATGAAGCCGCCCCAAGCAGCCCGGCCGCAACAGAGGTTCGGTTTAGGGTTTCGAATTCAGGGTTTAGGGCAGTAGTCTCGGGCTTGCGACAATCTAGGGTTCAAGGATATAGTGCTTGTAGACGTTGAGGTTGCGTAACAGGACTCTACCTGCTGCACGACTCTGGCTGCAATCAACCTCGACAGATAGCTGACACGCACCATGTAGAACTACCACAAAGATTGCGGCATCCAGATGATGTAGCCCCTTGGTAAGTACATGTAAGTGCGTCACTCCAGTCGTGCCTATGCTCCGCGCGTTGACAGAGGGGCATTCCCCTTGAACCCTAAACCCCAAGCCCTAAGCCCTAAGCCCTTAACCCTTGGGGTTGCAGGGCTTTCGCTGAGGACACTCTGTGGCGGGATCCGGCCGTAAGATCGACCTTTGTGTCCTCGTGCATGGGATGAGCCACCTGGCAAGCAACCCCAAACTCTAGAACCTAAAGCCCGAATACCCTCAACCCAAAACCCCAAAAAACCCCAAAAAAACCCCAAAAAGCGCAAAACCCCCCAAACCCACAAAACCCCCAAACCCCCAAACCCTAAAAAACAAACCGTAAAGCCCTGAAACCGGCGCGATCTTCTGCACTCCCTGGACCAGTCTTGTGATGTGGTTTAGGGTTTAGGGTTTAGGGTTTAGGGTTTAGGGTTTAGGGCTTGCAGTTTGTTTTGCACGCCGCCCTCAGAAGTGGAGTGGTGCACAGCGCGAGGGAGGCTACAGCAGTTTCCTGTCGTGCTTTGCTGTTGTTGCTGTATTCTTCGCAGCGTACTGGACGTCTCCTTGAGATCAGGATTCTTTTTGAGGGTCTACGGTTTTTGGTTCAGGGTTTAGGGATAGTAAGTACTTACTTTCAGTGTGCTCATCAGTCAAGGAGGGACCCCCTCCTTGCCCCCGCCGCCCCCCTCCCCCCCTGTCCTTCCACAAGGTCTTTATAGCACCTTGCCCGCGAGGGACTCACTTACAACTCTCTAAACCCTAAACCCTAAACCCCAAACCCTAAACCCCAAACCCTAAGCCCTCCCGATCTCATAAGGTGGCGATTGCAAGGACTGGGACACCTGGTCCGGGCCTGAGGTCGATGGGGGGTGGGGGGGTGGGGTCCCCAAACCCTAAACCCGGGTTTGGGGTTTAGGGTTTAGGGTTTAGGGGTCTGGAATGAGCCCCAACCCTACTTGGAGGTTCATGGGTCGGGTAACTATGGATATTTCCTGACCCTACTTAGAAGTACCCATGAACCTTCAAGTAACCCCAAAGCCCCAAAGCCCCAAACCCCCACGCCCCAAACTTAACTCCCCAAAACCCCACAACCCTTGACCCTAAACACAATATGGTCACTTGTCTAAACCATGGTCCCGTTGGGGGTCCTTATTGTACGGCGTACCCAAAAAGGGACCATATTCAGAGAGCGGAGTCTTTTGCTCTTCAGCAGCCCTTAATCCTGAAACCTTGAGCCTGAGTAAGGTACCAGGTGCTATCCGCGCAGTATCCCAGCTGGAAAGTGGTGGCGCTCCAATCCCTTGCTCGAGGCGCCTGTTTTGGGTTCAGGGCTCTTTTTTTTGTTTTTTAACTTAGCGTGAAACCCGCAAGCCCTTGTAATTTGGGTTTCACAATTCGAGGATTCAGAGATCGACCTGACGTTGTAGCATTGAAGTAGAGCTCTGAATCCAAATATATCCCTCCCTGGACCCCCCAACAAAAGGTGCCCTTGTTTCCCAGCTTTCTGGGGGCCTAACTTCAGACCCTAAACCCAAAATTCAAACCGTAAACCCCCCGGTTGTTTCTTGGCCTACGTATAGCCTTCGGGTTGAATTCTAAACACCTACTGAACCCCAAACACATCTAAATATAGTAGCTTCGCGTAACCCTACAAACCCTACAAACCCTATAAGCCCTATAAACCCTACAAAAACCCTGAACCCCAAACCCTAAACCCTAAACCCTATAAAAAGCCCGAATCTAATCCGAGCTGCGGCTGCGTCCCATGCCAGGCGCACGCTTCCTGGCGAGCGGGGTCAGGAGCTCAGCCAGTTGGGTTTAGGGTTTAGGGTTTGGGGTTTAGGGTTTAGGGTTCAGGGTTCAGGGTTTAGGGTTTAGGGTTTAGGGTTCAGGGTTTAGGGTTTAGGGGTTAGGGTTTAGGGTTTGAGGTTTAGGGTTTAGGGTTCAGGGTTTAGGGTTTTGGGTTTTGGGTGCAGGTCTGGGTTTGGGGTTTCAGGGTTTAAGGCTTAGCGAATTTAGTGAACTTCGCTAACAGTTCCCCAAATGATGGGTCTTCTTTGGGAACCCTAATTACTAGGGGCTGTGTTATAATCAGGACCTAGAATGTCGCCCCTTACACCCCCATCCCTTCCCCCTTGGTTCCTCAAACACAACAAAGCTGGTAGGTTTTGGCACTTCCTTTAGCTTTTTTCTTGTTGGGCCTTGGAAAGCCCTTTGTCTTCAGGCCTCTAGGGTCTAGGGTTTAGGGTTTAGGGTTTAGGGTTTAGGGTTTAGGGTTTAGGGTCTAGGGTTTAGGGTTTAGGCTTTGCTGTGATATCGGGCAGAAGCTGTGAAGGTTGCGATGCAGACTAGGAAAGCCAGGCAGTCCCCGGACTAGGTTGAGGGCGAAAGGGCGCGAATTGCAACCAGCGATGGTCGCGAATCCTGCTGTGCTTCCTTGACAAGCAGGTTTGGACTGAAGGACGTGCCTCTGTCAAACTTCAGGAAGGGTCCACTGTATCAATTAGAGCTCCTGTTTTTGGGTGGAGTCCTTGCTAACACATTCAAGAGACAAGCGTTTAGTTTCGAAATTACATTCCCGTAGCTCCGAGGTTGTTTAGTCCCAAATTCTGTCCCTCCAAACCTGCAAACATTCAGATCTCGCCCGTCAGTTGGTATCGGATACAAGCTGTTTGGAATCCTATGAGGCACCCCGAGGTAGAACAATCTGGTCAAGTCCCCTAGGTGTTGAGGGTTTAGTGTCCACTTGAATCGCTGACTCGTAGAGCAATCAAGCCATTCGGCTTTGGGTTTTTCAAATGGAGGGCTTTCGCCCATAAACCCGAAACCCTAAACCCTAAACCCGAAACCCGAAACCCTAAACCCTAAACCCTAAACTCAAATGCCTTTGCAAGAGCACGGTTTGCAAACAGGTCGACCAACTGGCGGCCCTGGCAGCAGACGAGATCAGCCACCTCATCAACGTGGAGCCACTGGGCCAGGGGGGCACTATGGAGGTGGATTCGCCTTAGGGGGGTTTAGGGTTTAGGGTTTAGGGTTTAGGGTTTAGAGGCTTTCGGGTCGGTTTCTAGCAGTTCAGGTAGTCCCCGAGCCGCTGAGCCCAGCACCCAGACGTCGGTTTAGGGTTTGGGGTTTGGGGTTTAGGGTTTAGGCTTTAGGCTTTAGGCTTTAGGCTTTAGGGTTTGGGGGGTTGCCCAAGCCGGGGGTGTAAGTTTAGGGGGGTTCTCCCGCAGTTTAGGATTGAATTCCGGGCTGAGGGCTTCAGATCCACTACTCTGGGTTTAGGGTTTAGGGTTTAGGGTTTAGAGTTTAGGGTTTAGGGTTTAGGGTTTAGGGTTTTCTGATCTGTTGAGGTTTAGGGTCTTCTCTCGCCTCAAGGCCCTAGCCGCCCTGCAAAATCCCCCCCAAAACTTTGCAAATTGGAAACGGCCATGCCCGTTGAACCCTAATTAGAGCCCCCCAAGCCCCATCCGCTGCAAACCCTAAACTTAAAAATCCCTGAGCTTTCAGGACCTAAACCCTCAAACCCCAAACCCAAAACCCTAAACCGTGAAACCCTAAACCCTAAACCCTAAAACCCTAAAACCCTAAAACCCTAAAACCCTAAACCCTAAACCCTAAACCCTAAAACCCTAGACGCAGGAGCTTGCCTGTTTTGACCTTCCGGTCCGACTGCACGTCGTTGGCCACTCCATGGGCCCTTTGTCCAGATTAGCTTAGGGTTTTAGGGTTTAGGGTTTAGGGTTTGTGGGTGTCGGGTTTAGGGTTTAGGGTTTGGGGTTTAGGGTTTAGGGTTTGTGGGTGTATGGTTTAGGGTGGGTCCAGAGTTCAGGGTATATCCAGCGCTTGTCGGTTATTCTTCCTATAGCATTTTTATGTTTGTTTGAAGGGGGTTTCGGGTCTCGGGTTTGGGGTGCTCGGGTTTGGGGCACGAGAGGGCTTTGGGGTATCACAGCCTGCACGTCCCCATGTTGCTCCTTCATGGCAGCCAGGGCTTAGGGTCTAGTAGGGTTTAGGGCCTTCGGGTTCAGGGTGGAGGGGTTTAGGGTGTTTGGGTTTAATGAGGGTTTAGGGTTGTTGGTTTAGGGTTCAGGGTTTAGGGTTTAGGGTTTAGGGTTTAGGGTTTAGGGTTTAGGGTTTAGGGTTTAGGGTTGAAGTTCGGGAAGTTTTTGGACATGGCAGATCCCAAGCTTCCAATCCTGAACTTGAATTTTGACAGCCCCACGGCCCTAAGTACCCCCAATCCGATGACCCTAACCAACCCTAAACCCTAAACCCTAAACCCTAAACCCTAAGCCCTAAACCCTAAACCCTAAACCCTAAACCCTAAACCCTAAACCCTAAACCCTAAGCCCTGAAACAAGCCCATGATATCTCTTGGAGCTTGGCCTGTCTGTCTATAGATCTTTGACAGAGGTGGAATCATCATCCGTGGCCAGCTCAGTGCAGTGTCTTGTGAGCCGCAGGAAGATACAAGGGCTTGGGGTTTTTAGGGTTTAGGGTTTAGGGTTTAGGGTTTAGGGTTTAGGGTTCTCCAGTCCAAGCATTCACTAGTCAAGCGCCATTTTCCGAGCATTGGAAGAATACCCAACATTCAGAAAAATATGAAGTTTGCTCCACAAACCCTGGGCGCCGGACTTTCGGGCAAACACAAGGTCCTCAAATCCTGAAGCCCTAAACCCTATGCCCCACACCCTCGGGCCCACACAAGCCTATGCCCCACCTAAACCCTAAACCCTGAACTCTCAACACTAAACCCCGCAGTTGTTTTTTTTTGCAGTTGCCGGTGAAGTTTTGGCATTTGCCGACGAACTCATGAGGGTGTAAATCATTATATATGCAATAGAGGTTCCCATATATGAAAGAGAGGTTAGGGTTTGGGGTTTAGGGTCTAGGGTGAGGAGGGGGGGGGTTCAAGGTTTTAGAGCACCCTAGGTCATAGCTTTTGAAGGATGGAGGGGACCTACTGATACTGGAGACTGCTTTGTAAATCACATCATTTCGCTCCTCCTGTAGTTGTGGACGCCGGGCTGAGAGCCCCCCCCCCCCCCTATCACATGAAGATGAATGTTAAGCGGTTAAGCCCTGACCCCTGAACCCATATCCTATTGCACCTGAAGCACGAAACATGCTCAACCCGTAAACTTGTTCCTATCGCCCTAAGCCCTAAGCCCCCTAAGCCCTAAACCCTAAACCCTAAACCCTGAACCCTAAACCCTAGACCCTAGACCCTAGACCCTAAACCCCAACATTCCGAATCCCCCAACCAAGCTCTCCGAGAACCATCTCCGGTCGCTTGCAAGTCGCTGGGCCCAAGGGGGCAGATTAGTTAAGCTCACAGTTAAGCGGGTGCGCAAGAAGTGCGGCGTGCAGCCATGCCTCATCTCTGCTACAGGAGGCACCTCACCAGGGTTTAGGGTTTAGGGTTTAGGGTTTAGGGCTTAGGGTTTAGGGTTTAGGGTTAGGGTGTAGGGTTTAGGGGTCACCAGTCCGTAGTGGCCCTAAGCCATGAATCGCGAGTATGTACACATCCCAGACGTTTACAAAGCCCTACACCGTAAACCCTCAACCCTCATCCCTTGACCCCATATGGGCCCGTATATTTCTGACGAGTCTGCGCTTTGCCTGAGTCTCAGTCCAAATTGCATGTAAGCAGGCGCCTTCTTTTTGCTTCCTTCCATAGCAGAACATGTCGCCCTATGCCCTGCATGTCCAGAAATAGTTGTAGTCATAGCTCAAAGCAGAGTCTTGAACAAGAATCCTAACTTGTACCTTTGCCTCACCCTACCCTCTGTATTCCGTAGTCGGGACTCCCCCGTACCCTGTGTAACCCGAAGCCCGGAACCCTTATCCCCAAAGAAGTCTACGTAGGAGCTTTCTTGGCTCCCGGCAGGACTTTCTTTGGGGTGTCCAGTGACATGCCAGCTCTTTTGCGTGCTTCCAGCCTTCCCGCGATCCGTTCGCAGGACTTCTACCCCTGTCTTGAGGCCGTAATTAGTGCTTGGGGTTTGAAGGGTTTTGTTTAGAGTTTGGGTTAAGGGTTTAGGCTTCAAGGGAATAATCCTGCTTGCGACCCTCAACAACAACACTAAATCCTCAACCTAAAGCAGAAGTCAGGAATGCCTGGACGAAACCTTAAAAGCCTTGACGTTCCGTCCCCTCCACCCTGAACCCTAAACCCGAAACCCGAAACCTAAAGCCTGAACCCTAAGCCCTAACCCCGAACTTAGGGTTTAGGGTGAACCCGAAACCCCAAACCCGAAAGGCTCCTTGCCCTGAAAAATTGCCGCGCAACTTTGGAAGTACGAACTGAGTTCTTGTGATTGACCGAAACTATGATACCATAGTAGGGTTTAGGGTTTACTTGGGGTTTGGGGTTTGCAGTTAAAGCAAGACGGTCTTCCTTTAATGGTGAAGAGCCCCGCAAACGATGAACAACCTGCATACCAGTTCTCACGAAGTCCAAGACCTTTGCAATCCGAAGGACGTGGGCTGAAGATTCCAAACCCTCAGCCTAAACCCCTAAACCCTACACCCGAAACCCTTAACCCTTAACCCTTAACCCTACACCCCAGGCCCTAAACCCGGTTTGAGGTTGAAGGTTGCAGTGTTTATTATTGGGTGCTCCTTCCTATTCTCCAGTTCTCGGGCCTCGGGTTTTTAAGTTGGGGGTTGACGGTTCAGGGGTTGAAAGTTTCAGACAGGAGGTTGGGGCTAGAAGGAGTACATTTCAAGAGAGACACACCCCCCACACCCTCCCGGCCCCCACAATGTGCCCATGATGTAGACCAGCTTCCATATGAAGTTTTCGAGGCCTGAGCCGGGATTCACCCAGCCGCATGAGCCCAAAAGACATGAGCGCAGGGCATAGTAGTTGCGCGCGCGCCGCCTCGACAGGGGCTGTCCCAACGGGCTGCAGCGCGCGCAATTTCAAATGCCGGGAGGGTTCAGGCGGGCTTCCAGGTGTCCCACAGAGGTTTCAGGGGGTCCCACAAAGCTTTAGAAGGGACCCGAAGAGCGCCGTCCCCTCCCCCATCTCACAGGGCGCGCAGGCTAGACGGCAGTGTGTCCCAGAGCACGGGGCACGAGGGCCAGCAGTGCGTCCACACATACCCTGTACCCTAGAGGCTCCAAGCCACAACACTACTGGCAAGTACCCAGGATGAGTGGCTGGGATAGAACCGAGTGCAACATGTCGTAATCGGCTCCAGCCCTACACCTGCAACCCTAAACCCTAAACCCTAAACCCTCAAAAGCAACACCAAAGCCTCCCGTGCAGGACCAAGATTTGCAGCCGAGGTTTCTGGACGATTCTCACCTGGACGATTTTCACCTGAAGTTCTGTGGGGGTTAATGTTTTGGGTGTAGGGTTTTGGGCGCAGGGTTTAGGGCTTAAGGTTTGCAGTTGTTTGTGGTTAAGTTTAAGTCTTGATGCTTCTAAGGTTTTTTTTTTGGGGGGGGGGCTAGTCGATGTTTCAGGCGTAGGCTTGGGGCTTGGGGGATGCTTAAGAGCCCTAAACCCTAAACCCTAAACCCGAAACCCGAAACCCTAAACCCTATTATGAACCCCTAAGCCGGAGAGCCTTAGGGGGTTCGGAGTGTGGGCCTTCGCCGTTTCGGGTTTAGGGTTTAGGGTTTATGGTTTAGGGTTTAGGGCTTAGGGTTTAGGATTGAATTCGGGTTAAGAGTTTAGGGTTTAGGGTTTAGGGTTTAGGGTTGCAAAATGGTACCTGTAATTTGTTTTGCCGGCAAGTCAAGTCAAGGGTTTAGGTGAAGGAAGGCTGTCGCCCTTGGTCTGTTGCGTAAAAATCTCTGCCCTGCTTTATGACGGTCGTGCTGTTCACGTGATCCTGCATCTGGAAATCGTCACAGCACCCTGAACCCGAAACCCTGAGCGTGAACGTTGTAGGGGTAAGGAGTATAAAGTCTTCTGGGCCCCAACCTAAACCCTAAACCCTAAACCCTAAACCCGAAACCCTAAACCCTAAACCCTAAACCCTAAACCCTAAACCCTAAACCCTAAACCCTAAACCCTAAACCCTGACTCCAAGCCTTGGAAGCCTGGGCTCAGGACTACGTGGCGGCCTTGCCAAATCGAGCTGATCGACTGCTCACGCAACCTGCCCTCCCTGGGCCCGTCGTTCACGCAGGCATGGTTTAGGGTTTAGGGTTCAGGGTTCAGGGTTTAGGGTTTAGGGTTTAGGGTTTAGGGTTTAGGGTTTAGGGTTTAGGGTTTAGGCCTGATCGGCGGGAGGAGGGTAGTGCTATGCAGGTGCTCATGGGGGAGTAGCAGTTGTAAATCTACAGGGAAGGGTTCAGGGGTGTATACCCTAAACCCTAAACCCTAAACCCTAAACCCTAAACCCTAAACCCTAAACCCTAAACCCTAAACCCTAAACCCTAAACCCTATACCCTCAAACTTGAAGAGAGCAAATGCAATCGAGGGGCACCTCTGGCACTGTAAAACAGCAACAGCAATCGCAACCGCGGCAGCGTTTAGGGTGTAGGGTTTCGGGTTTAGGCTTTAGGGTTTAGGGTCTAGGGTTTAGGGTTTCATCTGCACCCTCGCGCCAGGCCCTGCCCCGGGTCCGGAGGCAGAGGAGGCCGACCAACTGACTTGATCGCAGAAGCGATTGTTTACTTTGTCATAGTTGGGTAGCATTTTTCATTCTTAAGGGTACTTAAACCCAATAAGGAATAGACATTTTGATTGTGAATATTATCCCAACCATGAACTAGTTTAGGGGGCGGTGTGATAGTACAAGATTTAGGGTTTCGGGTTTGGAGTAGATCACTTGCCCCACCTACGCTTGACCGCACAGGATCCCCTTATAGTAAGGACCCCTATACAATAAGGTATCCCCTAATTTCAGAAGCCCCATACTGGGAGGTTCATGGTACTTATAGGCCCTTCATAACTGTACTTGGAACTGTACTTGTAGCCATATTAGGGCACTTAATTAAGGGCTCCAAGTATAATACCCCAAACCCTAAGCCCTAAACCCTAAACCCTAAACCCGTATAAGTCCTTTCCTTCCGAGCTCCCACCAGGAGGCCGAACCCGATGCTGAAGCAGCGCCGAGCGACAGTGAGTGCCCCCTATCTGATCAGGAGGAGGAGGACCTTGGGGACAAAAATGAACCTTAAAATAGGGTTTAGGGTATAGTAGGGTTTAGGGTTTAGGGTTTTCATACTACCTTAATAGGAATTATCGTAGTATAGGGTACATGACCCCAATTTTAGGGTTCATTTGGTCCCCAGGAGGGCTGCCCCTAAAAGGAGCAACGGGCGGCCCTTTAAAGGCAACGGTGACTTCCTGTCATCAGGGCTCTTTGCCGGTGCAAAGCCCTGTCTGGAAGCCGCATGGTAGTTGCTAATGAAGTTCCCTTTTGTGGGAACGGCCCGGAGGATGCTCAAGAAGAGCAATTTTTAAGCAAAACTGCATTTCAAGCTCGGGCTGCCTGGGTTGCCCACAATTTGACAATCGGTGTTGCCCAGAGAGTCTCTTTTGTGGGTGCGTCGAGTTCTATAAGCCTGACAGTCTTCAAACGCCCCAAAAAACCAAAAGGCAAAATAACACAGAGCATCTGAAGTATGTTGCTTTCATTTCTGGTATCCCCAAAAGGACACCAGTTATGTACACTCACCAACATATATACGGAGCCCGAAAAACACGCACCAATAACAGTGGAAACAAGACCCATTCATCACCCAACCAAGGGGGAGTCCCGAACCCCGAGGGCCAAATCCCCAAGCCCTGATCCCTAAACACCTCAATCCTCAATCTGAAGTCCCGCAGCCCTAAACCTAAACCCTAAACCCTAAACCCGAAACCCTAAACCCGAATCCCTAATCCCGAAACACCTCAATCCACACTCGTGAAGCCCCGAGAGAGACAGTGGCCGGCCGCTTGACTTCTGAGTAGGTATTCTTTCTGGCAGTGCAATACTTTGCCGGTGCTTCCTTCCAACTGTGCACAGAACTCACAGAACGCCTGACAAGCAATGAAGTGGAACTGGTTTCGTTCCAACGGACGAAATGCGACGATTTCACATCGTTCCACAGGCCAATAAACATTGGATAGTTGTAGTGACTCGCTGTCCGCCGGGTGGGCATGCATATTACCTTATTGTTCTTGTTGCATCTTGGGTTCTACTAGTTGTTTTAAGAACCCTCCCCAAAAAATGAAAATATTCTTCCTTAGAAGGGTAACATAGAGATTTCAATCTTGTATATGTGTTTTTTTTTGGGGGGGGGGGTTCTTAAGCAAACGCTCAACTAGGCATTGTATTGTGGTCGCAAGTCTCGCCTGGATATCGAGATGTGCAGAAAGGGCTTATCTGTCTTCCGCAGGTGTGGCTCAGGGTTTGTCTCCCCTTGCATGATCCGGCAGTCCCCCTAAAGCCTAAAGCCTGAGGCCAAAAGCCTAAACCCTAAACCCCAAACTCTAATGCCTAAACAACTGTACGATTTGAGGGCATGCTGGGATCAGGATGGTGGATTCTGTTACTAGTCAGTTCTTGGTAGTGAATCAGGGAAATTAGGTGCCCAGTGAGTGGTGCTTAATTCCCAAACTCCCAACTAAGAACCGGAGCTCTATTGAGGGCTCAGGTCGAGCATGCTCTCTAAACACGAAGCCCTAAACCCTGAACCCTAAACCCTAAACCCCAAACCCTAAACCCTGAACCCTGAACCCTAAATCCGAAAGTTTGGATCAGGGTTCTGGTTCATCGTTTCGTGTAGCTGCCACCTGCGAAAGGCTTTTGGCGAGCTTTTAGTTGCGACAGCGTGTGTTTCCTGGAACCAGCAGCTCAATCCAAAACCCTCAGGGTTTAGGGTTTTGGGGTTTAGGGTTTAGGGTTTAGGGCTTAGGGTTTAGGGTCTAGGGTCAGCCCTGAACCCTCTTCGGGTTCGCGCGGTGCCGTCTTGGAGGGCCCCAAGGACTGTTGCACCCCTAAACGCCTGCTGTCCACCGTCGCCCCCCCTTCTGCGGTGGGCTAGAACCAACAGCTCAATCCTAAACCCTTCAGGGTCCTAAACCCGTCAGGGTTTAGGCTTTTGGGGTTTAGGGTTTAGGGTCAGCCCTAAACCCTCTGGGGGTTTGCAGTAGGGCTTTTGGATGCAAAAAAGGAAAAACTTGAGGGCTTGGGTTGTGGGGGTTAAGGGGTTTAGGCTTAGGGTTTTAGCGGTTTAGGGTTTAGGGTTTGGGGTTAGGGTTTTTTTCGGTGTTGCGTTTGCTTCTCTTGTTTCTCGATTTTTGCTTTGACAGCGTCTGGAGTATGTGCTGCTGGTTCCCCCTGCCTCACATCGACGCACTGTGTACCCATTCAGTCAACGAAACTCTGCGGCTCCTTGTTGCGTGCATCCCAGGCACCTCCTGGCCCAAAAACATGGGCTCAATCCTGATCCGATTTACCAGAAGCGTGGGGGTTTACGATAATAAGGGGCCCCTGATATAGACCACCAGATAGTAGGATCTCCTTAACATAAGGACCCGTAAACCCCATGTGAGTTCGGTGTTTATTAGGCCTTTACCTACTATCTGCTTAAGAACCCAAAAGAATGAAACTGATAATCCCTATTACCTTATAAGGAATAATATGTTTGTTTTTTTGGGGGGTTCTTAAGCAAGTAGTAGTTTCGACTTGTAAATCTTCAGGGTTCTGGGGTGGACTACATCGAGCCAGGGCGCGGCGTGGCCTAGCTAGCCAGTCAATCCCCAAGCCTGAAATCGAGCCAGAAAGTTTAGGGTTTAGGGTTAGGCGGAGAAGACTGCCAGTTGGTGAGCGTGAACCACCATAAACGCTTCGTATGCTTTGCAGCTTTGAAGACGTTGAAGGAGTGTGGTGTGGACGGGGGCGTGTTGATATTCCTTACTTTGTTTGTGTATATATATATATATACCCGCCAGTCAGAGCATATGCGCAAACAGCAGCTTAGATACAGTTTCTTCTCAAGTCTGGAACATACAGACACATGCAAAGAAATGCTGCGAACACCACTTTGCGCCATGCGTGGAAATGTGGAAACGGATGAGGGATGGAGCTAGGATGTCCGAGGTTTAGGGTAAGCCCAGACCCCAAAACTTATAGGACTCTACCTCGGTCCCCAAAGGGAATATGAGGGCCACGTAAGGAGTATATTCAGGGGAACCCTTGGGGATGCAACCTTCAGGGTACGAGTCTAATACTCCCAACTGCCACGAGCAGCTTGGGTGCTGCTTGAGTTTCGGATCGATCCTGCACGTGTTGGGAGTCCTTGATGCCCAGGAAAGGTTCGGGGCCTTTGGGGCAACAAGGCCTTGAGGGGAATTTGAGGACTTGTAGGGTTTAGAACTCTGAGAACACGGTGCTTCTGGTAGCCTGTCGGGCATCAAAGCCGAGCCTCCTAAAACCGAAATTCTTTTTAAGACCTGAGCCGTGGCTGCAGGTGGAGGGGGCAGATTGGCTTTGCCCTAAACCTTCGACCCTGAGCCTTAAAGCCCTAGAAAAATGTAGAACAAGTTGAGTAGCGAGGCTCGCGGCGGGCTGACCACGGGATGAGGTTTTGCTTGAGGTGGTCGGGTGCGTTCTACGGCCTACGGCTCGTCAGTAAACCAACTTTTTGTGCAAGACTAAGAGGGTTTAGGGTTTAGGGTTTAGGGTTTAGGGTTTAGGGTTTAGGGTTTAGGGTTTAGGGTTTAGGGAGTCCTGAAGATGAGACGCCCTGAGTGCCAGGGAGGAGAAAAATGGGGTTTGCAGGCCATGGCTTGGGGGTTGCCAAAGGCAGCCGTAGTAACAGCATGTTGTTGGGACTTTCTACGGGCCCCACATTCTTAAACAGACGATTAGTGCCCGTTTGATGAGACTTAATTGTCGCCTTCGTCCTAGGGGGGTCTTTGCTCATCCTATTCGCGGGCCTTTCTTTCACTCAGTATACTACTCAAACCCTAAACCCCTAAACCCCTAAACCCCTAAACCCCTAAACCCCTAAACCCCTGAACCCCTAAACCCCTGAACCCCTGAACCCCTGAACGCCTGAACCCCTGAACCCCTGAACCCCTGAACCCCTGAACCCCTAAACCCTAAACCCCTAAACCCCTAAACCCTAAACCCTAAACCCTAAACCCCTAAGCCCTAAGCCCTAAACCCTAAACCCTAACCCCTAAACCCTAAACCCCAAACCCTCTCCACTTCGCGCTGCGGGAAATCGCAAGGTGGGGCGCTGCCGAGCATCCTGAGAGCCTTCCAGAAGGATGGTGGGGCAACCCGGAGGGGTTTCGGTTTAGGGTTTAGGGTTTAGGGTTTAGGGTTTAGGGTTTAGGGTTTAGGGTTTAGGGTTTAGGGTTTAGGGTTTAGGGTTTAGGGTTTAGGGTTTAGGGTTTAGGGTTTAGGGTTTAGGGTTTAGGGTTTAGGGTTTAGAGCCTAGGGTTTAGGGGCTATGTGCTTTGTGCTTGAGGTTGAGGTCAGGTTCAGGGTTCAGGGCTGAGGGACCTGAAGAGCGTATTCGCAGTCACTTCACCTAAACCCCAGACCCTAAACCTAGGGTTTAGGGTTTAGGGTTTAGGGTTTAGGGTTTAGGGTTTAGGGTTTAGGGTTGAGGGTTTAGGGTTTAGGGTTTAGGGTTTAGGGACCCTAATCCCTAAACCCTCAGCCCTAAACCCTAAGCCCCAAACCCTAAAGCTGAGGACCTTGTTGGAGCTTTTCCACAGGCTTGAGGGGTGTGTGCGCACGTGTCCTTCGCCCAGCACGAACCTTAAACCCTAAACCCTAAAGCCTAAAGCCTAAACCCTAAACCCTAAACCCTAAACCCTAAACCCTAAACCCTAAACCCTAAGCCCTAAGCCCGAAAAAAACATCTCCCCAAACCCCAAGACCCTGGACCCGAAACCCTAAACCCCAAACCTTTAACTTAAGCCCCAAGCCCTAAACCGTAAACTGCGCGCAATGGTTCGTGCCTTAGGTGAAGCTGTTAAACAGAGAAGTGATCACGAGGAATTACGGCTTTGGGCTTTGGGGGCCTTGTTTTGGGCGTGCGGCGAAAAATACAAAACAAAACGTGCTAGAGAACGGGGTCGGGGGAATGTAGGAAAGTGTGTCAGGCACTGCGAAATCGTGTCGTTTGACCAACCCCAGCGGTCGCATCCAGTAAGCAACATCGGGTCACGATTTTGTGACCAGTTTCTAGGGCCGAGTCTAGGCCGAGTGCCATCTGACGGGCGTGCATGCACTTGCTGGGATGCGCTGGCCTTTCTCACGCACTGCAGTAACATGGACGTAATCATCGTGCGAACAAAACATGGACGTACCCGCGAGCCGGAAAGCGGAGATGTGCACCTGTGTGAGCGCGGGTGGTCTTTTTCTGCGCCGCAGGCCTTGTTTTGGGAATATG